TTGTCTTCTCTCTCCCCTTCTCCCCTCAAAGAAACCTTGACAGCCCTCTCCCCCTTCCATTTTCGTTTTTTGTTTGATTTCTTCATAACTTCATCAATTTTTAACCGAATCGGGCGATTCTTGTCTTGAAATTCGATGGAAATCACCACTCGAACCCGTTCCATCGATTAGTTTCCCTTGAAACCCTCTCTATTGTGAGAAAATAGCCATATACAGCCACGAATTTCTTGGAGAATTTGTGATTTTGGGGTTGATTTCTTAAGCCATTGCTTGTGGAGTTCTAAGAGGAGTCTTGTGACGTAATTGTGGGTAAGTTCCAACACCTCTCATGGTTTGATTTGATGATTTATTTTCATGAACCCTAAAGGGGGTTTTGTTGATTTGTGTTGTTAGAGAGCTCAAATAGAAAATGTGTATTAGATGATAATGTCTTAGAATGATGTGTTAGAGCTATAAATGCAATGAAAATTATTAATGAAAAATGTGAATTTTTAACTTAGAAAATTTTGAGGATGTCATGACTTTGAGTTTGAAATTGTTGTTAGGATTGTATAATGGGATTGTGGTATGGTTGTATGATGATATAATAGGATTGTATGAGGTGTGGAGTAGTTAGAATTGATGAAAATTCCTTGGGATTACACCATTGTGCAATTCGGCCATTAGACAAAAAGAGGGGAATTTATGTTGTTGAAATTGATTGGATGATGTATTATGTGTTATATGGTAATTAGATGGGTTGTGTGGTGGTTGGAAGGTTGGAAAACCAATAGAAAAATACTTGGTAGTGTTGAGTGTGTATTTGGACATAGAACAAAATATTAAGCAAAACGATGTTTAAAAGACGTAAAACGAAAAACGACACTTGATATGGCCTTTCGGCAACCTTAGGATGCCTAATAAAATGAGAAAGAAAATTTAGAAAAAATAAAATGCAATTTTGCACTTGTATGGCCTAACCTACAAGGGTGTAGGGGAGGTTTTGACGTTTTTCGTATTCCGATAGAATTGCCGTGTACTAATGATTCGTACATGGTTGTTGTAGGTTGTCGTACGTTGAATTGAACCCCGAACCGTGAGTCGGTGGATTTCCCTTGGTCCTAGACCAAGTGGGATTGAGGTAAGTGATTGGAATCATGCTGTATAATTGGTAATTGCATGTATTCGTACGAGTTTTAAGTAATTGGGAATGTCCTCTGTGTAGGCATTTCTGTGAGTAACGAGCTCGGAGAATATACTGCTGTGGAGCAAAGTGAAGAGGCTTATTAAGGTAACCTATTGGTACTGGGGCTTGTTCCTCTTGTATGTTCCACCATACCCGTTGAGGGTGATGGAAGGAAAGGTATATGAGTAGTGTAGAATAACATGATCATGCATGTAGTATGTATGTTGGTACGTAGGTACCGAGTCTCTGACCAGTAGACAGTTTTACCTTCGGGCGTTTCGGACTTCCACTGGATAGGTCTCCGAGAGGGAGTTCCAGTTGACCTAGGTCGTGGTGTGTGATAAGAGCACACTAGGAAGTCTCGGGTGTATGCGGATGGGAGGGGTACCTTGGTTGGATGTTCTTGGAACACGCCTTGGATGAGACCCGTAGGCTTATATGCCGAGCCATTAGGCAGGACATTGCGTGGTATTGGTAGCTACCATTCCAGCTTCGTCGTATTTTGTATCCCTATATTTCCCAGTTTCTCTAAATCCCTTGTTATATCCCGTTTTTCAAGATGTTATTGTATATTATTTATATGCATCGAAGTGAGTCATTGGGCGAAGTTTTTTCCAAAACCTATGGGTTACTGAGATATACTCGTATATCTCACCCCGTCTTGGGGGCTTTATTTCAAGAGGTAGCAGTGACACAGGAGCGGCGGGCAAGAAGCCCGTAGGAAGAGTGTTGGAGGACATTTTTATATTTTTCATTTTGATGGCCATTGGGCCTAGGCTAGACTTAGGGCATGAACATTCCATATGTATGTAGTAGGAGATTCATAGTCATATTTGTTCATGTCATTTTGCCTAAGTCTAGTTGTATATGTCATTTAAAGTTCATGTTTCAAGTTGTAATTTAAAGTTATGAAATTGTAAGTTGTAATATGTTGTAATTGTACATGGATACTTGATGTAATATGATGGAAGGGCTTTAGGCCTATTTTAGGATTATGATTATGTGAATGCTTAGAAAATGCATGTAAATGGACTTTGATGATTGAAACGTATTAAGTATTAATCAAGTGAGCAGTATGCTATGAATTGTGTAATAACTATAAACTGAGTTGGATTGTAAGTGCCCCAAGGCATTGTTGGTCCTTGTGTGTGCCACCCATTGAATATTAGGTACATTTGAGGTCTTAGGATACGTTTGCAATTTGGGGATTTTTGTAAAAACAAAGGAAACTCTGACGAATTTTCTGTAGAATTGACAGAATTTAGACGAACTTCGGGAGAGAACATCTCCCTCCACAGAGGTCCAATAGGGACGTTCCATACGCTATTTTGAAGCTTAGATGTCCTCTATCTTGTGCTAAGATTTGATAGAATTCTGGGTTGAAAGTCGGCCTGGAGAAGGAAAAGAGTACAGACTACCCATTTTCTCACTGCACTTGTGGCAGTTCTGGACCAGTTTTGGGAAATTTATTCCTGCTTCATTTCTTAGTCAAATTAAGTGTATGATATGTCAAATTGAATATTGAGGTGTCGAGTTTGTTTTATAAAAATTTGAGAGCAGTTGGTTGAGTGGATTTTCTGCAGTAATTCGTGGAGTGAGGGATGTTTGGAGCTGTTTTGAGGTTGATTGGCAACTTTGCTTGTCCAACTTCAAACGGCGATATCCGAAGCAAACGAAATCGAAATAACTCGTGTGATAGCTTCCTAGAAAGGTAATTGAGTGAAGAATAACATATAAAAATATGGGAGGCTTGTAGATTGCAGTTTGTCCGCAGAAAAATAAAGACCGAACCATGTTCGGATAGGTAGAAAACGTAAAATTGAGAAATTAGCTAAGTGGGTTTATGGGAACCCCTTAGTGACTTGTAGTAACTAAAATAAGATATAAAAGTAGTCTAAATAATTAGTCCGCAAAGATTTTACAGTTACGATCACAGCTTTTAATTATTACGCTTTTTATTGTTTTAAATGCTCGCGTAATAAACGGAAAAAGTTTACTCGCATTTTTATAAATGAATTGCTGTGATTGTAACTGCGCTTAATATCATAATTAATGTTAACAATACCGGTGTACAACGGGCTGTTACATCTTGCACCATCAAGAATGTGCAAGTGGGTAGAGCTCTATGTGATTTGGGGGTAAGTGTCAACTTGATGCCCCTCTCTTTCGCAAAGTCCTTGGGGATCATTGAGATGAAGTTTACACTGATATCTCTCCAATTTGATGATAGATCCATCAAGAAGCCAGAGGGAGTGCTTGAAGATGTTTTGGTAAAGGTGAAAGACTATATCTTCCCAACCGACTTTGTAGTCCATAACATGAAGGAAGATGTCAACATGCCTCTCATCTTGGGAAAGTCGCTCTTAGCAACTGCAAGGACTTTGATTGATGTGGAACAAGGTGAGATGATTTTCAGAGTCAACGGTGGCCAGTTCAAGGTAAATGTGTTTGAAGCCATGAAGCATCCTGAAGACAAAGGATACTGCTTTCAAATTGATGTGATAGAAGAAGCAGTTGCAAAGAAAATCCTACATTGCTCAGAGTTATTGAATGATGAACTGTTGACAGAATTAGTTAAAGCCATCGATTCTACTGAAGATTTAGGTGCACTGGAAGAAGAGATAATATAGTTGACTAGAAAATTTGAAGATAAACCATCAAGTAGTCCAAAGCTGGAGTTGAAGGGGCTTCCTACAAACTTAAAGTATATATTTTTGGGAGATGATGATACATACCCAGTGATTATCAACAAGGAATTGTCTCTCGAAAAGGAAGAAAAACTGGTAGTAGTGTTGCAAAAGCATAAATCTACAATTGGCTGGTCCATCTCTAATTTAAAAGGAGTCAGTCCTTTTTTTGCACCCACAAGATCTTGATGAAGAATGATGTGAAACCAGTTTGTCAACCCCAAAGGAGATTAAACCCAAACATGAAAGAAGTGGTCAGGAAGAAAGTTGTCAAACTTCTAGATGCTGGCACGATCTATCCCATCTCAGACAGTGCATGGGTAAGTCCAGTGCAGACAGTGCCAAAGAAAGGTGGAGTGACAGTGATTAGGAATGAGAAAAATGACTTGATTCTAACAAGGACCGTGACTGGTCGGAGGATGTGTGTGGACTATAGAAGATTGAACGATGCCACAGGGAAGGATCATTTTCCATTTCCTTTCATGGATCAAATGCTGGAAAGACGAGCCTGACACACCTATTATTGTTTCTTGGATGGGTATTCTGGTTATAATCAGATCCCAGTAGCCCCAAAGGATCAAGATAAAACAACCTTCACTTGTCCATTTGGTGTCTTTTCTTACCAACGAATGTTGTTTGGTCTTTGCAATGCACTGACCACTTTTCAAAGGTGCATGTTTTTCATCTTTTCTGATATGATAAAGAAGTTCATTAAGGTATTCATGGATTATTTTTCTGTGTTTGGTTCTTCTTTTGATACATGCTTGGTTAACATCTCTTGTGTTTTGCAGCGTTGTCAAGAAACTAATTTAGTTTTAAACTGGGAAAAATGTCATTTCGTGGTAAGAGATGTCATAGTTCTAAGAAATCAATTATGAATAACTTGGACAAACAGCTTATGCTATTATGAGAATTAATTTTAAATCGGTAAAATTGATTTCAAAGGGTGATTTTTTTTAAAAAACAAAAAACAAATGATTTACTATAATTGATAGATTGACTATAAATTCTCCTAGAAGTTAGTAGTTTGTCATCATATTAGAATGATAAAAGTTTATTCTAGTCCTAAACTTTACCCCATCAAACAAAAAACTCTTCAAGAAAGATACAATTCACAAAATTGCAACGGCAACATCACCCTAGTCCAGGCTCTGGACTAAATTCAATTTTCCAATAGAGATTGCTATAAATTCATCAAAAGTTGGTCCATTCCATCAGCAAATTTCTACCTCATCCCTTGAAACCTCAAGGCCATTACTTTTATCTGCCTTGGCTTTTTGGTCATCTAGATAATGCTGATAAATATAGGAAAGAAAGCCCCATACTGCTAATAGTAATGCTATACACTTCACCCCATCGACCTTGTCATGAAAGAAAATAACAGCAAGGATGGGAACTATGGGCAATGCCAAGGTACCTATTACATTTGAGAATAATGAAGATACCTCAAAAATTAACCCCAGCATACCAATGGAGGTTATTTGCCATGCCACAGCAGTCCAAAGAAGAGTCATTATATATGACACCCTTCCCTTTTCATATTCCTTCATCTCATTATCCAAAGTTTTCCATTCTCCACTTGCAAACAATCCCACAACACAAACACAGGAAGCAATGAAGGAAGGGTACAATTGCATGTCCAAGACAGCAGAAAAGGTTTCCTTTTTTATAACTTTCTCAAAAGAAAGCTGCACAAGAGAGAGATATAAAGAAAATGCAGCAGATGCACCAAGGGTGCATAAGAATCCAATTATATGCTTTTCTATGGGAAGACCCATTGAATCCTCAGAATCAGAATTGACTGCAAGCAGGGAAGCTGATATGGTAAGGAGGACCACAGAATTGAATATGAATGCTGTGAACTTCTGGGAATTCAGGAAGAAAGAGAATACTGCATTGAAGGCTAATTGGGTTGCACATAGTAGAGAATAGGTGGAAAGAGGGAGATATAGAAGTCCATAGGAATACATTAAGTTGTCCCCTGCAAGAAGAAAGCCAAAAGCTATGTAGAGGGAAACTAAGGTGTAAAATTTTGGTTTGTATTTGGAGGAATCATTTTTGGGCATGTTAGAAAATTTGGCATGTGATGGGAAGTAAAAAAGGAGTGGAAATAGGACAGGGAATCCAGCTGATTGAACAAATGTTGCCATCCATTTGCTATTACCACCTTTGTCATAGTATAGCCTTCCCAAAAGAGTTGCTGCAGATTGTCCTGCAAGAAGAAATATTATGTAGAGGGACACACGAAACCACCATTTGTATTCTTTGAATCTTGATTGTTGAGATTGCTGAGTGACAGTTGTGTTACTGAGTGAGTTGTGCACTTTTCTGTCATCTGAGGAATACATATACAAGAAACTGAGATTAGTTCTATGACTTCTATATGATATAATTTAGAACTAATTCAAAGTTGAGAGGGATGCCGGAGACACATTATTTTTGCGTAAGTGGTTCCACCAAACCCTTAAACTAAATGTTGAAATTGCAGGGGAGAAAAATCTGAATAATATTTCTTTATATATAATGACATGATATAGCGTATTTTTAAAATTATAGTTCTAATCATGAATCCCTGATTAAGCAACAAAAAAATTATGAAAAATAAAATAAAATTTATTTAGAGATAATTTAAGATATTCTAAATTATTCTATAATATAATCAGATATCAGAACGGGATAAGGCTATATTATTAGCCATTTACAAACAACATTTTTTGGATTTTCCCCTGTTCTGTGAACTCTTTCTAGGGATAGGATTAGGAGATGGATAGGCTTATCATCTATGAACCTTGTGTGCAGCAACAATAGCCAACAAAGTATAAAATTCTAGTAAGATGAACACAGTGATTCTTATTATGAATGAGATAAAAAAGGATCAGCATATTGAGGAATTAGAGAGAATTATGTTGGTGTCTGTTTCTGTTTCAAGAAAAATAATAACCAAGCGAGTTTGAGTGAGAAAAACTAACCTGCAGTTTGAAGCTGTAGTTCTTGAACTATCTCCATTAAAAAGAGAAAAAGCAAAAGCTATGATGATAGGGATAACATCAAGATTCAGAGTGGGGCCTTGCAATTGCAATGCATCATTGTGCAGCCTATTTTGAAATGTTAGATAGAGACAACGCTCCTTAGATCGTAGAAGACTAGAAGCCAATATAAACCCGACAAAATAAAAGTTTGACTTAACCAAGTTGGACTTTTTTATATAAGCTTACATGCACCAATTACATTTATTTTTGGAAGTGTTGTGTAAGCAAATTTTGTGAAGTCAATAAGCAACAAAACATTTTGCGTATTTTCTTACCAAAATGACATGCGTGCTGAACGTTCTTTCTTTTTATTTTTTTTTGGTGAACTCTTTCTTTTAATTTATTGCTGCTAGAGCCAGAAGACTCTTCGTACGTTCTAAATAATATAGCTGTTTGCATTGTGATACGCTCAGATACCCGGACACGTTGTTTAGAAAAAAAAAATGTGTGTGGGACACGTGTCCAACACGGACATGCTCCGACACGTTCGGACATGCGTCTGACACACGGTCGTCAACATTTTAGGACACGTGGTCAACTCTCCGCTCCGTCACGTTTTTTCGATACGCAGTCAACTTTTTCCGACACGTGGTCAACGTTCGGATACGCTTCGACATATTTTTTTTTTTAGTCTTAATTTTATTTTATTAACTAAAAAAAAATCATTTATAAATCAATTTTTTTTCTCTTATGAAATTTGACATGAAAAATTAACAAGGTACAAAAAATTATTATTTTTATATTTAAGTTATGAAATTTGAATATTTGATTGGTTATATGACTTATTGTGAACAGTTATATGTATTAAATATAAATTATATTATATATGTATTAAATATAAATTATATTATATATATTAAAAATATTCTTTAATATCAAATCGTGTTCCAAAGTGTCAAAATATGTCATTTTTTAAAATTAACGTGTCGGCGTATCATATCTCGTGTCCCGTGTCAATGGCCGTGCATACGCTAGTGGGTTACACAACCGGTGCGTTCACGGGTTAATTGAAGAAATATTATTTTTTGAAGCTATACAGAAAATTACTTATTATTATTACGGCATCAAAGTAAACATATAATAAATAATTTAAAAATAAAAAAAACAACGCTTGGTTACATTACTATTTATCACTTAACAAATTTTGTACAAAAAAAAATTTAAGCAGTAATAAGAATAGAGTTATAAAAAATAAAAGGTTTTGCTAAAAATAAAAATATTATACTATAATAAAAACAAATATCATTCTCCTAATTTTTAATCCCTTTTTGAGGCCATAATAAAATACTTCTAAATGAAAAAATTTATTAGTACTTATATAAGGTAAGGCCACTTCAGCGTATTTTTAGTAGAAATTAAATGAATAAAATTCATATATAATTTATTTATTTTTTTAAAGAGTATACCAAATTGAGTCTCCATGCAAAAAATTTATTTTCTTTTAAAATATCAACATAGAATTTTATATTTTATATACATAAATTAAATCTACATAATTAAATACTAAATAAATACGCCTGTTTCTAAATCAAATAAACATATTTAAACCTTTAGGTTTCACTTATTTTGTTAAATAGGTATTTTAAAAACCATAAATATAAAATTCTCCAGGGTTATAAAAGCCATGCCCTTATTCTAAAACTTGTATTCCCTACATGTAAATAATAGTACACTAACAAATATTTTTGTGTATTATAAATTTTTTTAAATTCAAAATATTTTAAAAAATATTTAAAATTTTAGAATAATACATACATAATTAATATTTAATTTAGGTAAAAACTTAAAAATATAATTTAAAAAAAAAAAAAACTCTTCACTCCCACCTGTGTTTTTCTTACAATCCGAGCTAGGTGATCAAGTAGAGACCATTTCACAATGTCTTCTTGAATTGTGTGATAGCTTTGGCCAATGCATACATAAGCAAGAAGAGAAGACCGGCATCTTCTTTTCATTATAGAAAAATGATGAATTTGATATAAAAATAAAAAATAAAAATAAAGGTGACGCTTTGAAAAGCAAAGAATTCAATAGCATACAGAAAGGGAATAAATACAATATTTTACACTAATGAAGCAAGGCCTGCTAAGCTATATATCATGCTAGATAATACTGTAATCACCTTCACTACTCATCCTTATGTAACACATTATGGCTAATACAAACACAAAGAAGGAAGATAGTTCCATTCCAAGGGCTCCCCAACCAATAACACCAGAATGCTTTAATATGGCTGGAATAGCAATGCTTCCTACAGCTGAGGCTCCAGTCAAGAACTTTGATGCATTCGCCCAGCTGCTCCATTATTCATTAGATCACAAAAATCAAACAATATAAAATGATTCAATTACCCAGATTCCAAATTCAGATACTAACATTTTTTGTTTTGTTTTGGGTGCAGAATTCAGATCCTACTTTTTTTTCTTACCTGCTATCTGATTCAGAAAATAAAGAACCACCCTCTGATCCCGCAAAGAACAGCAAAGGCATTGGAAGAAGTACATATGTTATCGCTGCAAGAGAACAAAAACATTTAATGAAATAACATACAAGGAAAATTTTCTTGTCACATAACAATCCCATAAATGAAAAGATGTAATTATATAGTTTACTGGAACCAAATTCAATGATGCTTTATCTCACCACTTAGCATTGGCCACCAATTATCATACAAGGCACATGCCTGCCACATAGAACACAAGTTATTAAGACTTCAGAGTAACAGTTTTGCCAGTAAGTTTGTCTCTTGTCACATATTTATACATACTAACGATAAATAACCAACAAGGAGAAAACAATATTACTGACCAAAATTTGCAAGACGACTCCTCCAGAGACCAAAATTGCCAAAAGTACAAGTTTCCCCGTGTTCAAGCAGTAACGAACATGTCCTGGCAACTCTGCCATCTCATGTTATAAAGATATGCAACTGAAACAAAATATGACAACATATTGCTATGAGAGTATTAGATCAGAAGAAAATGCTAAATGAAGAAGCAATTGTAGCAAATGCAAGATACAAAACAGTTGCAGTTGATTTCATTTAACAAACAGCAGTTTATCTTATCTATTATTAAAAAAGTGATAAATCTCTACTCACATATTGATCACATATATTACACAATACCTATAGAAGCACCCATAAAAAAAAATAAAAAAAATAAACCTAGTGACTTAAGAACAAGAACAAGCAAGTCAGAATCCATGTTAGACAACCACAACCAAGTAATGATGTCAAATAGAGAACAAAAGCCAATGTTTTAGTGAGCCAATACAAGTAAAAGCTGTATGATTTTAACCCAATTTTTGGAAATAATAGTTAAGCTAAAACAGTGGTAAAGTTGAATTTTTCAGGGGTTCAAATTCAGAAATATATATGGTTGTCCTCTTCCCCTATCCTCGCTAGTTTGGATATAATGGGCAGTAATTTTTTATTTTTTATTTTTGGAAATAATATTACATTGAAAACTTCTTATAAGCGAAACCCGAACACACAAAAAATTGAGCATAAAATCATCATGACACAAAATCGCATCTTTTTGTCAGCATCAGCATCAGCATCAGCATCATGGTGATTCATAAGCAGAATCTATATAAACCAGTTGCATTTCCAATTTGCTTAACTGCATAATGGAACCTACTACATTATTCCTCCTCGTACATCGTTTACTTAAGGTAAAATAGAAAACAAATTGATAATCATCCGTTTTATGGAATTATAACAACAAAGTCCAAAGAACTCAGTCCAGTAGAAGAACTGAAGAAGAAATACAGAAAAAAGCCATCAAGTAAAATGAGCAACAAAATGGAACATATATATGATTGAAAACCAAAATAGGATAACTTAACATCAGACATAAAAATGTAGGTGGACATGTCCTATGTAGATATTGACAATGAGAGAATTTGAGAAATTGATACCTGAAATCAAAATCTAAATCTAAGTTTTGGTTGCAGCTGCAGCTGCTAAGGTTTTGAAACTGTTCGGGGTTACTTTTATTTAAACTATCTAGTTACAACCACACAATCAGCATGCATCTACCAGTCAGATTCGTATAGATAGTAGCCGACCGGTCCAACCCTTTTAAAGCTTCGTCTTTTGTCAAAACAAATTGGTAAAAATGTATCAATTATATTTATTTATTCATTTTTTTGGGCGGTATAATTGGATACAATTTATTTACCGGAATAAGTTATTCTATTTATAATTTTTTTTTCTACATTTACTTATCATTTTTCAATATGTTTAGATTAGAATCTTAACTACCTTTTTTTATTTTCTTTTCCTATTGAAATTTTGATCCAATGGTCTTGAAGATTGAAATATAGACAGAAAAAATAGTAGATAGAATAACTTATCCTTTATTTTATATATTTTTTGTTATAAAAATATTTAATATATTAAGGGATAAGATCCTTTGACATCAATGTCAAATTTAAAATTTGACACATCGTCTGAGAGTCGTTAGATCAAAAAAAGTCAACGACTCTGATTTGTCAGCATGTGACATCATTGAACTTATTTGATCTAACGACTCTCAAATGAGATGTCAAACTTTAAATTTGACACCGGTGTCAAAGGATCTTATCCTATATATATATTAATGTTTGGTTTCAATATTTTTATAATGAATATAGATAAGTTACTACATTCGTTCCCAAAACGACGTCGTTTTAGATTGAAAAATTTAAAAATTATAATGAAAAATACTATTATAATCTTGAAAGAAATTATAATTACAAAAAATCTTGAATTCCCCCTCTAAATGATGTCATTTTGAGTTCAATATAAATAAATTATCTACGTTAACCGTAAAAAAAAAAAATGAACCTTTGATCTTTTTTACAAAGTTTTTACACGTTCTTAGGCATGAGACTAATCCTATCTCTTAAGTTTTTCTTTTGCCGAATCAAATCCTGAGATATCAAATGGCTCTGAAGGAAAAAGCCCTTATGCTGAAAAGCATGTTTGATTTCGACATATTGTTGCGGGCCACCCTAGATCTGGCTTTTTCACCTTTTTACCCCTTATTAATTAATTAATAACAATTTTGCCCCTGATTCGAAACTATTTATCAATCTGCCCCTCTTTAGTCAACTACATTGCATTTTTAATCGACTAAATGACCAAAACAGACAAAAAATGGCTGCTGGGAGATTTAGTCGACTAAATCTCCCTATTTAGTCGACTAAATCTTCATATTTTACAAAAAAAAAAAAATAAGTCAGTATGATTTTAATCGATTAAGTAGAGAGATTTAGTCGATTAAATCTCCCAACAACCGTTTAGTCGATTAAAAATGCAAGGTAGTCGATTAAAGAGGGGCAGATTGGTAGATAGTTTCGAATCAGGGGCAAAATGGTTATTAATTAATTAATAAGGGGCAAAAGGGTGAAAAAGCCCCCTAGATCTAGGCCCAAACTATATAACGTCAGACTGAGGGAACAATGCCCAAGTTGAGGATAACCCGCCCAATTTTGGATGATTTATTTCAATTGGGCTATTTAAATCTCTTTTTTTTTTGGAAATAAGGCTATTTAGAATCTTTATAATGATAAATAACTAACTACCCATTGAGTTTTTATTTATAATATGCAACTGCAACCTATTCTGTAGATAAGATCAATAACTCTAGAACAATTATAATTTTTCTTAACCACATAGTTTGATTCACAGCTGTTGTAGCTGAAGCAAGTGTGGTAAGATCAAACAAGACAACTCTTTTAGCAGAAATTAGTTTGTAATTTGTAAAGAACAACTCCCAAAGCAGGGACGTCTATTTTTTTCTATCCAATATGATTTAATTTGCTTCGAGCTGTGGGATTCATATCAGCAGCGCTTCTATATATATATATATATATATATATATATATATATTTAGTGAACCCTAACAGAGCATGGAGAAAACTGTGAGAGAACCACCAGAGCGATCATCAGAGGAGGAAGACATACTAAAGCGAAGTAATAAACGTAATAAAGATCGTGGAGAAAAATTCTCACATGATGTATCAATGGTTCCTAGGGAGGAATCCTGGATGAAGGACCAAGAAGAGGGTCGAATTTCATGGAAGGAGATGCTGCAACGTCATAATGGAGAGAAGAATGTTGGGGAGGGTGCTGATACTCTTGAAGGTGAGAATTTGCAAGGTGAACCAGCTGAGGAAGAAGACGTTAATTTTGGGGGCATAAAGATGTGGGTGGAAGAGGATGGAAAGACTCATTTTGGTTGCACTAAGAGAGGAAGAAGACGCTTGCATAGAGTGTGGAAAAAGCTTTGATTGTTAAGTTGCTGGGCAGATCTACAGGTGTCTCGTTCATGAAGAAAAAGATTGAGGAGCTATGGGGAAGGAAAGGAAAAGTGAACGTCACAGATATTGGGAATGAGTTTTATGTGGTTCAATTTAGTGATGATGAAGACATGGAATTTGCTCTAAGTGGAGGCCCTTGGGTTGTCCTAGGTCATTATCTGTCCTTACGTAAGTGGGAACCTGGCTTCAGGCCTAATGCTGAGGGCATATCAAAGATAGCAGCTTGGATCCGCCTTCCTAATATTCCATTGGAATTTTATGATGAAGTTTTCTTTCGTAGGGTGGGTAACTGGATAGGGAAGTTAATAAAGATTGATAGGACTACAAACCTTCATGTTAGGGGTCGCTTTGTAAGGATCTGTGTTGAACTGGATTTGGCTAAACCTTTAAAAGGAGAGTATGTTCTTGAGGGAGTTTTGAAGCATATAGAATATGAAGGTCTAGGGCTCATTTGTTTCAACTGTGGAAAGTATGGCCATAGCAAGGATTGTTGTTCTGAGATTGTTCAAGAACAGATCGTGGTGAATGAATCTCATCCTTCTGGGGATGGTGAAGCTGATAAAGTTGAAGAAAACCGGAACGGTCTTGGCCCTTGGATGGTGGTTAATCGCCAACGCCGCCCTAGAAGCCAAGCTGCTACCCAAGATGGCAGAACGCCGATGACTTCGAGAAGATTCACTCAACGTGATTTTGGGGAGAATACTGCGCAATCAAAGCAGTTATCAGTGCAATCATATCAGCCTATTTTAAATGCAGTAAATACAAAATCACGTTATGGCAGTTTAATGGTGATTGGGGATTTGAATCAAGCTGAGCTGGAAGTGATTAATGAGGAGCCTAATCATGGGCATAATCCTAGCGTAATTAATGACCAAAAATCAAGGGGAATTGAGGGAGCTATCAGCGTAGAAAATAATGGCATCATTAATAGTGGTTTAAAAGGTTTTAATCGAAAAGATGCCTCGAGTCATTCTAGCATTGAATTGGAAGAACATGCAGATAGGTACATCCTTGTTGGGGGACCCTCAAATGATAGGGTAGCCTCTAAAAATGTTCATATGCCTTCAAAAAAAGAGGATTTGGCCAATAATATAGGGCTACGTCAGAAAGCTATTGCTAAAATTCAGAACCAGCATTTGACTACCCCTATGTTACTTGTAGATAGGCAAGTTGTGTTGCCTCCTGTTCAAAATACAGCAATGGAAGTGGATCAGAACGTAGGGGACCAAAGTGGGAGTGATAATGGTTTAAAATATCCTAAAGCTCTGGATCCTAATAGGACTTTGGTCACTACCCATTCGGATGCGTCTATTTTATCGCATCACATGGAGGTTGATAAAGGAGGTATAAATGAAGATAATGTTGAGATTGTTAAGGGGTCAGCAAGGTACCAGGAACCTGCAACCCTTATGGTTGATTGATGTCTTTGCTGGCTTGGAATTGTCGCGGGGCGACAAAGAAAAGGTTTTTGGGAACCTTAACTAGTATGATCCGAAAACACAGAATAAATTTGACTGCTATTTTTGAACCTAGAATAAGTGGTGGGAAAGCTCAAAAGATTATTAAAAGAACAGGGTATAACAGTTGTATTGTGGAAGAAGCTCAAGGTTTCATGGGAGGGATCTGGGTTTTGTGGAACAAGGAGTTCTGTAATGTTACGATTTTGGAAAAGAACATGCAAATGGTTCATTTGAAAGTTTGTTTCTCCGATAATGTTGCGTTCTTATTCACATTTATTTACGCCAATCCTAGAGAAGAGGTGAGATGTAGCCTTTGGCAGGATCTTCGTCGGATTGCTGATTCTATGAATGAGCCCTGGCTTATCACCGGTGATTTTAATGAAATTGCTTCCCCTTTTGAGAAACGTGGAGGTGCCCCGGTAGATTTATATAAATGTAACAGATTTGCTTCCTTGCTTACAGATCTGAAGATGATTGATTTGAATAGTTCCGGTTCGAGATTTACTTGGCATGGTCCTCGTTTCCTGAATATGGATAGAGTTTTCAAACGGTTAGATCGTGCTTGCAGTAACGATTTATGGAGGGTTACATTTGAGGAGGGTCATGTTAGAGCCCTTCCTAGGTTAAACAATGACCATAACCCCCTTCTTATATCCTTGTCTTCTTCAAAAGATGAGTGGAAGGATCGTCCTTTCCGTTTCCATTCCTTTTGGCAGGACCATATCCTGTTCAATCAAGTTTTAAAGGACAATTGGCACGTGCATGGGAACATTACTGATTATTTGAAGGTTCTTACCCCTTGCATTAAGGAGTGGAATGAGAAGGTGTTTGGGAATATTAAGCATAGGAAGAATAAGTTGATGAGAAGACTTGAAGGTATTCAAAGAGCCATTTCTGAGCACAATAAAGATTATCTGGAGAAAGTGGAATGCAAGATCAAAGCTGAACTTGAGGAGGTCCTTGATCAAGAGGAGTTATTATGGTATGAAAAGTCTCGAACTCAGTGGATTAATCAAGGTGACAGAAACACGAGATACTATCATACAAAAACTATTGTCAGAAGGAAAAGAGGTAGAATCGTGGAACTCAAGGATGATAATGGAAGTTGGATTCGTGAAGAGGAAGGCCTGGTTAAGATGATCCGCGATTTTTATATTAATCTTTTCAAAGATGAAAGTTGTCATCGTGAGTGGATCAATACTAGATGGCCTATTGTTCCGGAGGAAGTCATGGATAAATTAAGGGTGAGTGTTACTAAGGAGGAAGTTAAAAAAGCTTTTTTCACAATGAAAGGCTCAAAAGCCCCAGGGGAGGATGGGTACATAGCTGCTTTTTATCAAAAGAACTGGAATCTGGTAGGTGATCAAGTCTGGAATGCTTTCCTAGCTTATTTGGAAAACCCGCAAACCATTGCTGATATTAATGGTACGATTATTACCCTTATCCCAAAGGTTAATAAGCCTACGTTGGTTTCTCAATTCAGGCCAATTTTCTTGTGCAATGTGATTTACAAAGGCATGAGTAAAGTTATAGTGGGTAGACTGAAGGAAGTAATGGAAGCTTTGGTTTCTGATAACTAAACCAGCTTTGTCCCAAACAGAAACTTGCAGAATAACATTATTGCAGCTAAAGAGATTGTCCATTCGATGACAAAGTTTAAAGGTAAGATGGGTACTATGGCCATTAAAATTGATTTAGAGAAAGCCTATGATAAGCTGAATTGGTCGTTTATTTGTAAGGTTATCTCTGAAATACAGCTTCCGTCTTGGATGGTTGAATTCATTATGGCGTCTATCACAACTAATAGTTTCAAAGTGCTTGTGAATGGGGGCTTGACTGAAACTATTATTCCTGAACGTGGAATTCGACAGGGTGATCCATTATCCCCATACATCTTTGTCTTATGTGTTGAAAAGCTATCTCATCTTATTGCTCAAAGGGTTGGCAGTGGTGTGTGAAAACCGATCAGAGTGTGTAGAGGTGGTCCAGCAGTCTCCCATCTCATGTTTGCAGATGATATTGTCCTTTTCTCTTAAGCTTCGGTGCAACAAATGCAGGTAATAATGGAGTGTTTAGATCTTTTTGCAGAATGTCTGTCAAAGTATAAGTGTTCATAAGTCTACCATTTATTTCTCTTCCAATACATCTGATGCAACTGCAAATGCAATTTTTGCGCTCTCTGGGTTCAAAAGAGTTAGTTGCATTGGTAAATATCTGGGCTCTTTTATCAGGCAAGGGCGAAATTTGAAATCAAATTATGCTGATCTAATGGATCGGGTTCGTAAGAAACTTGATGGCTGGAAGCATCAAAGTTTATCTTTTGCGGGGAGAGTCACTCTGGCTAAATCAGTGATTGGTGTTATTCCCTCTTTTCATATGCAGAATGGTCTTCTTCCCACTTCTGTGTGCGATGAGATTGAACAGCTTCAACGGAACTTCATTTGGGGTATTAATAAAGCTCATTTAGTGGCTTGGGACACAATGTATAAGCCGAAGGAAATGGGAGGTCTTGGTATTATCAGATTGCGTACTCAAAATGAGGCTTATATTCATAAGTTGGCCTGGAAAATCTTAACTGACAAGGAGGAACTTTGGGTTAAGATCTTGAGAGCCAAGTATGGAAGAGGTAAAGATTTGAGGCGTGAGATAAGCTCTAAGCCTTATGATTCTAAACTTTGGCGGGATCTTTCTAAATGTTGGAACAGTTTTTTAGCCGGTCCTCGATGGGAGGTGGGTGATGGAGAGACTATTAAATTCTGGGCGGATAATTGGTTGAATCTGGATGATAATCTTTGTAATTTAGCTACTAATCACATTCCTGATCTGGAATTGCATAGAACCATTGCTGAGATCTTTCAGCATGGTACCTGGGATGTTCGATATTTGAAGCAATTCTTAAATGATGAGCTAATGTCTAAGGTGTTTTGCGTTCCTGTTGCTTTGGAAGATAATACTGAGGATAGGTTAGTTTGGTGTCAGAATCATGTGTCATCTTCCTTAGTTAAGGTTGCCTACTTGAACTTGATGAATTTTCAACATGCTCAAAGGAATGTTCCCTGGAAGAAGATTTGGGACTGGAAGGGTCCAGAAAGAATCAAGACTATGATGTGGCTGGCTTTTCTTAATAAGCTTCCAGTTAGGAGTCGTACATGCAAATGGAATGGGGGTCCTAATTTTTGCATTAACTGTCCAAACAGTGAAGAAACTCTTATTCATGTCCTTAGAGATTGTTCTCAAGCCAAAAGATTGTGGATAGATTGGTTTGGTAGAAGGGTCCCCAACGATTTCTTCACTTTAGACCTATAGCCTTGGCTCATAAAAAATGTGAGTAAGGGTTGGAATTATCAAATTCATGTTGATTGGAGAGATGTTTTCTATACTACTTGCTGGAATCTTTGGAATTGGCGTAATCATCATATTCATGATGATAGTTTCCGAAGGCCAAGCAACGATAAGCGTGTCATTTCTGATTTTATTGCGCATTTAATTGAAGCTAGAGGTAAGAATAGAAGCATTCTTGGCAGCTTCCCTAATGCCCATCAGCCTACTAAATGGTGTCGTCCTGAACCTGGTCGGTTGAAGATTAACACAGATGGTGCTTCTTCCTTATCTAGGCAGCATGCTAGCTGTGGAGGCCTTGCTAGAGATCACAATGGTGCTTTTCTGGGTGGTTTCTCTTTCAGATTAGGTTTCTGTAATCCTCTTGATGCAGAACTCTGGGGTATCCTCAAAGGCTTAGAGCTGGCCTGGGGTACTGGTGCTAGGAGAGTGGAGTTGGAATGTGACTCAGAAATTGCTCTTAGCACTATCCAAGAGGGAGCAACAATCACAGAAACTCTCAGGTTGTTTCCCGTATTCACAAATGGCTTGCTGAAGATTGGGATGTTCGTTGGGTACACACCTTTCGAGAAAATAACAGATGTGCTCACTGGTTTGCTTCTAGGCATTTTGAGGATGATAATAATCTTATTGTTTATCATTCTCCTCCTTCTCCTTTGTTAGAGCTCCTTCTTCAGGATGCTTCTGTAGATCTTTTAAGTTCTCGCGTCGTGTAACTTTTGTTTTGTTTGGGGCTTTTGCCCCTCTTTATTACAAAAAAAAAAAAAAAAAAATCATTTCTAGAATTTGAATTTGAAATCTGTAATTGAGAGAATCAAATTCCTTATTACTTAAAACCTATAATTGTTGAAGAAATACTATCATATTAATGGTGGAAAATGATGAACTCCCAACCCAACATCAGTTGACTATTGGATAAGCCAAAATCTACAACCTTTTTATGAAAGTTTCTATCTAATAAAATATTTTCTCACTTTATGTCACGGTTGGTATCAGGAAACTATTTTTTACTGGGACGTTGAGTTCCACCTCTAATGAGTTGCCGAATCGAATCCCTAAGACCCTAATGCATGATTATATAGGTTTATATTTCATTTCAATTATTATTATTTTATTTTTATTTTTTTTGGTAATTTCAATTTTTTTTTTTACTTTTGATAATTTTGAAAAAAAAATAATTTAAAATAATTTAAATTTAATATATTTTAATAAATTAATGTATCAATATATTTTTAATGAAAAATTATTTAATTCATACCATTTAAAATTAAAATAAATTAATATTTTAAAACAAATAAATCAAATAATAAAGAAGAATTCAATTTAGGAAAATTTATATTTTCAAAAAATTTATTAGAATTTATATTTCTTTAATTTGTTAAGATATATTACAATTATCGAATAAAAAAATTTCAAATTATTATACAGTAATATAATAAAATTTATACTGAATGTATAATAAATATAATAATAAAAATATTAAAACTAATATATTATTATGATTTAATCTTAATTGTTAAAAATTTTCATGAGGAGATAAGTTCAAGAGGTGCCAACCCTAAACCACAACATGATCCAACCATATCATTGGCATCCAAAGTTATTTACGAGATGAAGTGTAGGTTAATTTTTGCAGAATACAAAAAAAGAAATGGACTACTTCCTATGCAGATTTTTCTTGATTGCAAATTAAGTCTGCAAGTTGTACGAACTAATTAAGCACTTTTATTCTGAAAGTACACTACGTTCTTTTTTATATACATAAAGTACACCACGTTAAAATCAAATACAGCAAAATAGTTTAGATGTACGGGAGTGAATGTGACATTCATTTAATCCTATGGTCCCATTTGTCCTGTTCTGTCGGCAAGAGCTGTGTCTTGCTTTTTTTTTCTTGGATAATCTTAATTAAGATATTTAAAATGCAGAATCATTTTATATTATGGTTGGAAATTATATTCTTAATTTTGACCATTAATCATATCTAATTCTGATATATATATATATATATATATATATATATATATGAGTCCTTAGATACAAATAAATTAATAATTAAAATTTAATGTACTTATTCTTACACCGTATAATAATAACATGCTTCGTTTTACAGAAATGATTAAGAAATATTTCCTGTATTCTGCCAATAAGTGCTTATTAGGTCAGCATATTTAATATTAATTCTTTCAAATTTTTCATTTACCATCAATAATACCACATACTAAAATTATTAAATTTAAATGAAAAATACAAGCATTCATAATGGAGTATTAAAATTGTGAACTTTACATCATTTAAAATATTGTTTTACTAGTATTGTCCTTAAAAAATAAAAAATAAAATAACAGTATTATAAATTATTCGATGGACAGATAAAGTGTTTTTATTATTTATTGCTCATGTACATACTCTACAAATAGAAAGTATGTAAGCGTTTTTTCCCCTGAAATTGCTGACGTATTGACAACAGAGTAACTGCTAAAAAAATAAAAATATTTGAGAAAAGAAAAGCCTCCAGTAATAAATGTAAAAATGAAATGATAAAAATGACACTAATCAGAGTCCTTTAAAAATTAATACACAATTTATATGGTTAACACAGATTTATTTTCTATTTATGAAATAATAAAAATGTATTTATTCCACAAAATAAAAAACTTGTGCTGACGGCCTATTTTTATTTGAACTTTTTTCTTCCGTTTGTTTGTTACTTGAGCTTGTGCTTATTTATTCCGTTGCCACTGTTTTCTATATTGTTTATTGTTATTAATAATAAGACAAGACAATTATTTTGGGGCTTAGGAACAGGGACCATTTTGTCACGCTTCACCAAAAAATTTATCCACGTCAACAGTAAAATTTTCCAGAATGTCACGTGGCATAATTCGCTACTATGTGTAGCGAATTATGCTTGCTGATGTGGCAAGTCACAATTGATTGGAATAATTCGCTACACAGGATAACGAATTACGTGATCAAGATTCAGCCCGCACAGTCAGCAACATGGCACGTGTCAAGCAGACAGTAATTCGCTACTCTGTGTAGCGAATTATGCATGTGGCAAAATTATGAGTCCAACAAAATTGTGCCACATAAGCAGACATAATTCGCTAAACAATGTAGCGAATTATGCTTGGCTTGACACGTGTCCTAGGGCTGACTGTGCAGGACTGCCATTTTGTACATGTAATTCGCTACACTGTGTAGCGAATTATGTGACCATTTGAAAGATGACACATGA